CGACATTGTCTAATTGTAAAAGAATAAAGAATAGGCTAAGAAGTCACGAATTTTCTATTGTTTGTTGATAACCAAATTTGGAAACCCCTCGGGTACTAGGAAAACAGCAATCCAGACGAAAAAGTGGCGAGTGCTCCGACTGCCCAATGTATTGGCGCCGCTGGTCACCAGCTAAATAAATGCGTATAATGTGCCAAAAGGTGTCAAATTTATACCTTCCCGCGGAGAAAATTGTCTATCGAAATATTTTCCACGGTGGGTATAATTAAGAAAACTTCAGACACATCGAAGCACTCGAACTATCTGTTAGAAAACTTACAATTTAGAGTTCGCCATTGCTTTAAAATTGGTAGATAGTTTCGAAACTATTCTCTGTATAATCCGAAGGCGGAAGCGATTAAAACGTAAACCTATCGTACCGTGGAACCGGGATCGAATTCGGGCCGACAAGCCCGGAAATTTTTGGAGGTGGTTGTTCCAGATAAGTCGAGCCCCGCCCCTCGCCAACCGCCGCACATCGTGGGCTTGGCCGAATCCATAATGGGATTGCTTAAAAAGACCTTTTAGCACCCACTGGGAGGAATGTATTGATACTGTAGTTCATACCAGAGAGAAATTGATACTTATTACTATTATTACTACATGAGCCATTGCCTCCTATTTTTTGTTTATTCACAGCTTTATCATTAAATTTCTATTTGATAAGAAAAACTGTATTTTTTAAAAATTTGTTTAATCATTCGATTCGAAATATAGTATGTCCCGAGTTTTCACTTAATTACGAAATGCATCAAACGAGAACACTATAAAGAAACAAGACCTTGATTGGTTAGGATTTGTTATGACGTATAGTCTAGAAAGGTTAAAATATACAGACCGCGGTGACGTCAATAGAAAGAGCACGTAATTTGATACTTGTATTATTATTATTTTTCTGTTTGTAATTCGATGTACTTATAAAAATGTTATTGTTATTATTTGTTTATTAGTTTTGCCGAGAGGGGGCGTAAAGAGAATAAAGAAAAGAAAGTGACTATTTTTCTTTTTTGTTTTCTTTTCCTTGTCTTTGCCAGTCTCCTGTCTCATTTCGTCAGCGAACACCAAGACATTTTGTAAATACAGTCGGCCCCCCTATAACACTGTTGATTTTTCCGTTTTATATGAATTCCATGTTGTACGAATCACTTAGATTTTACAAATACGTGAGCTATTCACAGCCCGACACACGTATTTGTAAAATCTAAGTGACTCGTACAACATGGAATTCATATAAAACGGAAAAATCAACAGTGTTTTAGGGGGGTCGACTGGGTAATACCCGAGTAATTTGTTCATTAATATAAAGTTAGACATTGGACATTAACTATCATTCTAATTTTATATACTGTATTTAATTAATATAGTGTCTTATTGTTTATTTATTTACTGCCTTCCTGAGACTAACAATTGTTCAAACCATCTCCAGCTGGCCACCATCTGCCCTTTACAACGACGTCACTGGTCCGAGCCTCGGCCTGTCTTTGTAAATGGCCACGGATGCGGACATTTTTACGTAAATTTAACGTCATTCTTAGAATTCATCGTTATGAAATTGACGAGATGACGTCAAATTGACTGAAACGCGCATATTATTCCAATTAAACGAATATGCTCGTAATTTACCGTTTTTACTTTTCCAGTCGTTACGTATCAGAGGGAAAGTATGGCGATCGATCAAAAAAAATGAATCCCCGAGATCTTTACATTTTTGAACTTATGGCACCTTGAAACGCCGAGAAATGCAAAAAATGGGGTATTTTTTCTGTGTGCTTGAGTGCGTGAGGGCACTATTTTGTTCACCCTGTTTGAAGCTTAATAACTCCTGTGCTTTTTATCGAAATTTTCTGAAATTTTGCAAGGAGATTTGTGCATTAGAGGAATCGATGCTATTAAAGTTTGGTGATTAAAGATCGAGGAAATAGGAAGATAAAGGGGTTCGCGCGTATCTCCAGTAGGGTCGGACTTAATGACGATTTTACTCGTTATTATTAGCATTTACAACTTTTTATAAAACTCCCCTCTACCTTCAAAATAAAGCTATTTGCCATTTTATAAACTTATGATACGTTAATTAAAATGTAAAAACAGATGGCGCCACTAAATGTTGCCGGGAAAGTTAAGCAACTTGTTGGATTTTTTAATTAAGATTTTCCCACTGTACATACTGTGTAACTCGCCTGAAAAAAAAATTAATATAAGGAGTTATACTTCCGAAAGTTTTAGTTCTTAACTGGGCAGTGGTGCGTTATAGCTTCGTGTGACCCCGGGCAAATTTTAATTAGGGGCTCCATGTACTGTACAGTGTAGACTTCAAAAATTTTTGTTCGGGAAATTTTTAGGGGAATCCCACGGTATCTTCGTTTTTTTAACGTGACTTTTGCTTTGTGACAATGTACTCTGCACTTGCGCCAAACTAGCAATCTAGGCTCTCCGGATATGACCGAAATTTAAATTTTGATATTCTTACTACAGCGGGGCCGGATTAAACCACTTTAGGGCCCTAGACATTTTCTTCTTACCAGGCCCCATCCCGGGTCTTTCAATTAATAAATCTTGTTAAGTTTAAAAAAGATTAGTTTGAAGTCTTCTGTTGGTGGGGGTTCCAGGCAATTGTCCTTTTTGCCCATAGGATAACGCGCCGCTGAACTGGGGTGACAAGAGATAGAGTAGTTTTTAATTAATATTTTAAGCAGAAAGTAACGATTAACGACTCCATTTCGGATCATTTTGTATCATTTGAATCAATCTTTGATTCACATTAAAATATTTCATGTCTAGAATTTTGACCGAGAACTCCTTTCACACAATCACTTGATCTTAATTTTATCTTATCTAGAATCTTTCGTTACTTTAATAGATAAGGGCAATTCTAAAATTTGCGCATTATCGAATCACTTGACTTCCTTTGATCTAAATCTTAAATTCTCGATAGATATTATGTCGTTGACTCTACATTTCGTGTTCATAGTTCAGTCTTCTCGCTTAAATTATTGTTTATTTACTTTCCTCTTTCAACTGTTTAATTTTTCAACTATTGCTCGAGCAGTAGTAAGATTTTTATATTAAGCAATAGATACACTATATATAAACATTTAAATTAATACGTAGATATTTTGCATCTCCCGAAAGCGCTATAAAATATTCGACTTTTCACCGATGAAGTCCTTTCGTGAAATCACACGTAAAATAAGTTTAAACTCTTTCTATCACGTAAGCACTAAGAGGGCCTCTCTTTAGCGAGTCCATTATGGATTTGACTAGGCCTATAATGGAGCAGTCAAATGGTTATGAACGGGACCCGACGTATACGGACAGACAATCCCCAAAAATTCCTGGGGTTTTTCCATCCAATCCGGATTCGATCCTGGATCTACCAGAGCATTACGCTGTCATCTTAATCATTCGGTCATCTGGCCATTAATTAACATTATATTATTATAATGTATTACGTTTTATAATTTTGAATTACAGTTATACGGCTTATACCCAAATGGAAATTTCCTTTCCAAATCCCTCCTCCCAAATTTGATATAATTGAATTTTCTAACAATACTGTATATTATTCGTTTTTCTAAAGTTATTCTATTTTTCCTCCAGGAAATTTTTTTATTTCTTCAAGGGGTCGTGGTCGTGGGCGTGTGAGATTGTGACGACAGCTGGAGATGCTTGCACGTCACCCAACGCATAAGATTACTACGTGACTTTTTTAAAAATACAAATCGGAATATTTTTGATTAGAAATGAACAAATCGCAACATCTCGGGAAAATTTTTCCAATTGTGACAAAGTGTTATAAATTCGGAAAATCCTAAAAAAAATTTGGACTTATGGCAACCCCATGTAAGATTAACCGCAAGACAGAAGTAAAAATGTTTGTGATAAACAACAGGTTTTCTGCCTCTTTTTCTATTAACGAACATTTTCATACTTCTGAAAAAAATAAAAAAAAAAAAACTAGAAACGAACAAGTATTTATTTAAACAGTTCTAGTGGGACAGGTCTCAAAATACTCAATTTAGGCAGACATACAAAAAATACGCTGCGCGAACACAAAACAACGCATCACTGATAAATAAACTAATGATCGAATTGACGCCCTGGGTGCCGCGGTGCACAGTCTGGAAACCAATTTATTCGGGATTTGCATATTAGAGAGGTTGCGGCTAACGTTTACAACGCAAAAACGTGTATCGAACGTCGGACGTTCAGCGCCGCCTTCCCTAACCCTAGAAGTTTGACAATGACGTTTGGAACGTCGAGCATGATTCCGCTGACGTTCCGAACGCTATTGTCAAACTTGTAGACTTGTAGGCTTACAGGAAGGCGGCGCTGAACGTCCGACGTACACGTTTTCGCGTTGAAAACGTCGGCCGCAATCTCCTTATTATCTCTTGGATCTGTAAAAGTTTAATTATAGAAATTTGAAAATTACAAGCTAGATAAGAGAGATTGCAGTATGAGGATCATTCAGTAAGACGAAAAATTACTGAGAGATTTTCTAGGGAGTTGCAATCTAATTTTTCGTGAAACCGAACAGACAATCTCGTTTTGATTTTGGGTTCCTCGGAGGACGATACTACGCATATCTATTAAACAGGCTATTCGTATTAGATTCATTTGTGCGTTCCTTAACCGATACAACAAATTTAGGTGCTAATTAATTGCGCCTGTATTTAAAACATCTCGGCATGTGTATTGAAAGTACGGTATTAAACTAATTTATTCAAATGTTTCGTTTCGAGTACGAAATAATGTCACAAAAACGTAAACAGAAGTTAAAGAAGGTCAACAGCCGATAGATAAATATTGACGACTGGCAATATTGTTTAGAAATTCATTATGGCGCCCTCTGTTGGATAATCGCAACAAGGATTAAGCAATAATTTATATATTTTTTTAAATGAGATTTTTTAAACTGTAATATAAAACTATTTAATATATAACGTAGAAATTTTAAACTTAAGTGCTAAATTCAAAAATTATGTAAAAATATAGGCGGAACCCTTTGACATTTGATTCGACGATGACAGCGATGTTTTGACGAATCGTTTCCATGTGGTTACGGTCGACTGACACGAAATGTCCGAAGTCTTATTGATTTTCCATGGGTTATTATGTATATAATATAATTAATCGATATAAATTGTCTATATTGAAACGGGATTTATCATGAAGCGCATCGGATTGCGTCGAATGGTTATCTTAAAGATTGTTTTTTCTTATCGGCTTTCAGTTATCGACTGAAAACGAGAAAGAGAGAATGGAGGCGGAAGACGAACAGCTGGTCGACCGCCCCCCCGCCCGAACCACCAAGTACATATATTTGGTTACGGTCCTCTCCGCCGTCGGCGGTTTCTTGTTTGGTTACGACACTGGCGTCATTTCTGGTGCTATGCTTTTTTTGAAGGAGGAATTCCAATTGGAACACACGTGGCAAGAGATAGTAGTCAGCAGCACCATTGCGGCGGCTTGGATCTTCTCCATCCTGGCCGGTTTCCTCACCTCCGGGATCGGCCGGAAGCCCGTCATACTGGTGGCCAGCTTCGTCTTCACCGGAGGCGCCGTGATGATGGGAGTGAGTCGGAGTAAATACGTGCTTCTCGGAGGGAGGATCGTGGTGGGAATCGGAATAGGTGAGAATCCTTTCTCTCCCTTTCTACAATTTAAATATGTAAACTTTCCTTGTGAGTTTAATTTTGTTGTTTGTTAAGAGTAAACGAGACAGATAGAAATGTGATAAGATGCAACTTATCTTGTGTTGTGTGAAATTGCATTCTGATGGTTTGGTAAACTTTGGAACGGTGGGGTGTTCCTTCGGTAAGAATTTGCATTGTGTCCGAGCCCGGGTCGACCGAGGTTCCGTGCCGTCCAAGGCGACCCGTAAGCGAATACTCTACTTTTTGGAAAAGTTTGTTCTTAAGTGTGATTAAATTTGATAAAATATAAAAACAGGTCTGAAAGGGATACCGTTTAAATCTTTGGTAATATTTAATACGAAATAGTTGTGGCTGTCCGTTTTATTTGAGTTTACCGATTTCTGAGGTAGTGTCGTGATATTGTTTCGGATAACTGGGGTTCTACTGTAGTTTTTTATTTAAAGAATTATTTTAAAATGTATGTAATTTTAATGAAAATGAGAAAACAGATAAATGTTAAGAGATTGCATACGTAAGTGTTGGGATATAATACAGCAAGTTTTTGACCGATTAGAAAACTGTTTGACAGATGATTCAAATGTGTAACTGTAAATTCAAACATTTGGATAAAATTTTTCTAATTTAAAAATTTTTCACAGGATACATTTTTGTGTTAAACCTTATTTGCTTGGTTTGTATTTCAAATATCTTCAAATATATTTCTCAGTAAATCAAAGGTATCAAAATCAATCAAATGTGAATTTGATATATATGTTTGGATATCAAGTAAACAAATGCTTTGATCATAAAACATATTTCTGATTTGATGACAATCTAATTCAATGGGAAACCTTTGAACTAATTTAATTTTGATACTTATGTTAAATCTTTTCTGAAAATCATCACTTGGCTGTGAATCCTCTAGAATAGTGGTGTTCAAAACAATGACTTTCAGACAAATCTGGCATGTGGTACAGATTAATCTTGTCTGCAAAAGTATTTTGATATATCATTTATAAATGATAGAAATAGGTCCTACTTTTTGTATATATGGAATTAGAGAGGTTGCTCATTTGTTTATATATTTAACAGTTGTAACCATTTATTTTTGAACATTCTATCCAAATGTTTAATCTATAAATTTTTGAAGAAAATATCTATATCTTTATTATTGGCAAATTGGCTAATTTGTGAATAATAATAGAACTTGTAGATAAGAGGCTCAATCTCCACTCACTTTGCTCTCTTCACTTAACCTCTGCAGGGTGGCCTCCTTTGGCTCATCCCTCTTGCTTTACTCTCTTCACTCAACTTCTTCTGAGGATTGCCCAACCTCTCCATTTCTCATCTATCTTGACCCCTTATTCCCAATATATATTAATAGTATTTATTACAAAATTTCAGGATAGTCCATCAATTCCCAGTGCCATCATTTCTACTTTTTTTTTTCCTTTTGATGGAAAAGTGTTGTGACAGTTTAAGTATTTTGTGTATGGAGAGTAAATATACATGATATTTAAGGCCTTCTAAACTTATAACTTATGCATAATTTGGCCTGCCAATTAAAAAGTTTGAACACTACTGCTCTAGAATATCAGAAAATGCAGAGGAGGAAGAAATACTGTATGGCAGCTTTGGCATATGTTTTTTGGTGATTGTCCTTAATCACTAAAAACATTTTATTTTTGTGATGTTTTGTTTTAGCTAATGTTTGTTTTTTGTTCCTGTATTATATAGAGTGATATATTACCGATAATTTGGTATATATTCTTTATTAATATAATATTGTAGATGTGTTTGTTTGTTACAAATTATAACATTTTATTAACATTTGAATTTTTGGTTTTGGTCAGAAAAAAAGTGAGCCCATTGTTAAAGTGCTCATGGCTCATACTGGATATGCATAAAAAAGAGGTTCTCTTAGTGCCCCAGGGAGTTTTGAAAAATATATTTTTTATATTTATTAAAACATCATGTTTTTCTGTTTATAAATTTATATATTTTTATAAAAAATAATAAGTTTTAAATCTTGTAGATTATATAAATTTATACATGATTTGACACTTACGAAAGTGCAAGTCAGAGTTATGATTTCTTAATCAGTACTGAGAGTTTTTAATAATGTTTACAGTTACTATTTACTATATTTTAAGTTAATTATGAGGTTTTGTAAAATTCAATTAATAAAAAATTACATTAGTTATTACCAGATGCATATTACTGAATATAAGACCTTTTAATGTATTTTTTAATTATACTTATATCCAGAAAATAAGCATAACCAAGCCTTTATTTCAGAACAGTGCAAAATTTACAAGCAGAACATTGTATTCTTTATGCAACAAAACAGTTGGAAAGCAAAAATGTATTCTAAATTACATCAAACTAAAAAACAATAAAGCATTGTCATAAATCATTTTACACAGAAAATGATTAATAAGGCATGTGCTTGCCTCCTGCATGCACATACACCAATTTGCTCTTGCTGATTATAGTGTTGTTTATCAGCAGTTGGAAGCAAAGTTCATTCTCCAACAAGTGGCATCTTGAAGCTTCTGGAGTCTTTGTGCAGTTGATGAGATATAATTCATCTCCCTAGAACATCTTGCACATTTAGGTGTGAAGATCTCGCTGGCCATTCCAGGAAATAAATATCTTCACTTCCAAGAAAGTCATTGAGAGTGCAGACCATGTGTGCAGGCATTATCATTCACAAAAATGAAAGCTGTATACCAGCATTTCAGAAAAGTCTCACATAGGATTCCAAAACATTGCCTCTGTATCTTGCATGGCATCCTTTGCAAAAAATGTAGAGCTCGGTGTGGCCATTAAGCATAATGCATGACCATGATACCATCACCTGCAAACTGATTTCTTTCCACAGTGTTAATAGACCATGTCAGGTTCCCCACTGTCCCAGATTCTAATCCAATGAGAACTATTCTGTTGCCTGTATTTGGACTCCTATCTACGGATTAGACAATTATGCTTATTTTTTGGACATGTGTCAATAATTATATTTAAAACATTATCAACTTATCTTTTTCTATTACTTTTATTTTATCAATGCTATTCCTAATAAATTAATTCTGAATATAATTAATAGATTATTATTATGCTGTGTAAGCTTAAAATATACAGATTTATGTTTATTTTATTTAATCAATTCATATTTACAGTAATAGATGTATATTTGAAGGTGAGTCAACACTTGTTGATAATGTTATCAACAGTAAGTTTGATATATTCTAGTTTTACAATGAGCTATATTTTGCAATTATGCTGATTATACAATGTTATTTATTACAAATTTACAATGAATATGCAAAAACTTTTCCAATTTATGAAAATTTCTAGTCTATTTGATTTTCAATAACCAGTTTTTTTAATTAAAATACTTTTTTCAAAATTCTTTAATAGTTAATTTATTTTATATTTTACTTTAAAAAAAACTATAAATTGTCTTTTTATGAATGTATCAGGCCTGTTATATCTTCTAGGGCTGTTGCTTCTAGACTATTGCCATCTTTTTAATTTCCTGGTCTCCCTATTCTATACCTTTCTTTCTTCTGTTGCTTCCTATCTCCTCAAGCTCTTCTATTCTTTGATAGATTATATCTGTTTGTGCACATGGTAAGATTTTTAAATATCTAATTTTATTAATTTTTTTACTTATCATTTCTAATCTTAAATTTTAAATTTGATCTATTTCACCTTTTCAGATAAGTTAATCTTTAACAATAGATTATTTTGAGATACTGTACAAAAATTTAATGTTTTTCAAATTACTGTGATTTATAATTGATGGAGATTTCAAATAACATTGGTACAGATTCAATTGTGAGAATTTTTACATTTCTAGCTATAAAAAAAAACTAAACAAAACTCATCATTGTATGAACTAAAAGTTTATTTTGCAATCCTGTAATAACTATGACAGATGTTTAGTGATTGCTCATTCATGATGTCTTTAAATTAAAAGTATAAGTGATGGAATTACAAGAGAGGGAGGAGAGATTAGAAAAGTTAAGCAGGAGACAAGTACTTTTGGCCCCAGAATAGAGATCTGGGTGATATTGGAGTGTTTATTTATGTAAAGTTGAAACAGTATAGTGTCGGACAAATTTTCTTCCTGTTGGTGAATCTTCAAAAACTTAATTTCATTCACTTGTTGTTCAGTCCTCACCATTGCAAAGTCCTTGTTATCTGCTTTCTGATTTGCATATTAAAAAATCCTCATTTAGCATTCTTTCCACATGCTCTAGACCAGTGTTTCTCAACCTCTAACGAATCATCATCCTCTTTAACATAGTATTGCCCTTCAATAAACCGTTACATAGTATCACCTCCTTCCTTTCAAAATTTCGATGCCAAGGGCCAAGGCTAACACCAAATTTGTACTGCATTGAATAGACTAGTGACTAGTATAATGTTATTTATGTAATTATTGTTCAATATAATGAATAAAATATCTAATTATTCTTAATATGATGTTTTACTATATCACCCAGAAAATTGTTTTTTGCCCAAAATATAAATTGTTACAAATTGCCCCCTCAATATGGAGAAACGCCCACATGGGGGTGATATCGCCCCCGTTGAGAAACACTGCTCTAGACCCTTCATTTTCCTTATATCTAGCACATATACATCTCCACTCTTGCTGTATTTATTACCTCTCTAGGCAAATAAACCAGAAAGACAAAATGGAAAGACAGGAAAAGAAATTGATACGTTCTAGAAACTTCTACAAAAGTATAATTGACGAGGGGATGGCATGACATTGGGATTACCAATTTTGATCAAACTTGGTGAAGATATAGCAAATCCTCAATACCAAGCAGTACCAAGCACGTAAGGCGCACTTTTCAAAATTAAAAAAGAAAATAGAGGTTAAAAATTGTACAATCATTTAATACCTTCAACATTTCTATCATTTGCAGAGTGGTCGGTGGCTCAGTGGACACAACAAACTAACATCAGCAAATAAGAAATTA